ACACATCCATATCATCATTTAGCCACCAATTATATACAACAATCTCATTTCATAATTATAGGATAATAAGACGATAATTAAACAGATAATATACTTTAATACCCGATAATTAAAGAATGAGACGTCAAGACATTCATTCAAACCGATTAACTAATATGAGTAAAATCATTGAGTATCTAATAAGCGAGAAAATAATTAAAAACTAATGAATTAAAAGTGCATATAGTAGCGGTAAGCAAACAAAGTAGTATAATAATAAATAAGCAGTGCAGATAGACTAGGACAATTATATGTTGATAAGTTACCGGCTTCATCGGTGACCTGTATTTAATTAATCAGGGGTTGCCAATAGTTAAAAATTTCACCGCTTATTATTTATTAGACTTTAATTAACCGTAACGGGAGAAATTATGAGAAATTCTTACTCTGGGTCGGTGTTCAGAATACGACTTTTTTCATTGCACTTTTCGGCCGTTCTTGGTTCCTAAATTTTTTGGGTTTTTCTGCAAAAACTAAAAATATGCGTCAAATATCTCGAAAATACTTAAAAAATGGCAAAAGAGGGTTTAAAATTTTCCCAGGACCAATTTAGGGTTCTGGCACAGCGGTGCTGCCGTGCTTTGGCACCGACTCCATCGCCTACGATGGTGCCTCCTCTCGATCCGGGCGGTCCTGTGCAAAAACCTAAAAAACTCGAGATTAGGTGGTCTTTGTTAGCAGAAAGAGGAAAAAAAAATCGAGACTTATCGGTGGGTGGGCTTTCTGGTGCGGTGGCTCCGCCATTCCTCCCTCGCAGTCGGGTTTTTCTTTAGTTGTCCTACATCAGAAACACGTCAGAAATTCAATTGTCGGAAAATAAAAGGGAACAAAAAAAGGACTTGGCCGAGCTCTGCCCCCTGTTTCTGGCTTCTCCTCTAGTTTTTTGGTGCCGATAAGGGTTGGGATGGCTTAGAATAAGAAGATGAATCAAATGGAAAAAAAACTCACCTTCTAGCGTCGGTGACGGGCTTTGGTGCGACAGCGACGACGACCAATCTTCTTCTCCGATAATTGGTTCACTTTCTGGCAACCCCTCTTATTCTTCTCCGATTTCCTCTTGGCGGCTAGAATTTTTGGGGTATGAGTGGAGAGGTTTAAATACCTATTTGCTTTTGATCTGGGTCGTCCGTTCGAGGATGCATGACCCAATCTCCGCTATTAGATCTATCTTATCTGAAAAATGAATCAGGACCGCACGATCGAATGCATTAGGACCGTTCGATCATGCATGAAAGGAAAACGAATCTAGGTTGTCCATACGCGCGGGAATGAATTATGATTGTGGGATCGGTTGGCATGCAGATTGCCCGCGTAACTTCCCGTGTGAACGTATATCTGTGTGTTTGCCGCGCTGCGCGCAGTGACTGGCTGTGATGCTGACATGATGGTCCCACGTGGCCATATTTTTATTTTTTATACTTTGGCCCTAATTTTTCAATTTTTCTTTTAAATTCAAAAATTATTTTCAAATACATCCAAAATGTATATTTTTTTAAAAAAATTTAAGAAAAATTAAAATTAAAAATTTAAAAATTATTATTAATAAAAATTTGATCATCCCGAGCCTAAGTTTCTGGCTCAGAGTGTTACAATTTTTGTTATCAACTTATTTTTTTAAAAAATAATTATAAGCACCATAAATTTTCACAAATAAAAAAAAAGTTTGCTTTAATTAGATTATGTATAATGTGATGCATGATAATTTTTGGAATTAAATTACTAATTCAATAATTTTCGACTATAAATTATTAATTTTAAAAAATTAAAAATTAAATAAATTTAATTATTATAAAAAAATTCAATAATAATATATTTTTAATGTAAAATTTAAGTATCACGGGTATTAATCATAAATTGTGTACTTATTAAATTTTATATTTTATTAATTATATACGAGCATAATATATCATAAGATTTAATGATATTGATAAACAATAATATTAAATTATTTTAAATAATATTACTTTTTATTTATTTTCTACGTGCACTTACAATCAATATTCCACTTGGAAAGATCTCGTGCTCACCAACAAGACAATCAACTACCATTAAATCGCTAACAAATGTAACACATGTCCACTAAAAAGATAGTTATAGGATAATTTTTCTAAAAAAAAAGTTAAAAAATAATTAATAAATCCTTAGAGAGATAAAGGAGGAAAAAAGTTTGAAAAAGAATATATATATATATATATACATATAAAATAAATTATTATATAATTTTTTTAAAAAAAATAAAGGAGAATATATACATATAATACATTATTATATAAAAAGCTTGGTTGGACCACCCTTGCTTGCTTAAAGAGAAAGAAGCAAAAGTTAGATTATAAGCCTCCATTATAAAAGTAATTATTTTTAAATTAATATTTAATATCTTTGACAATTAGTTTTTTGTTTTTTTGTTTTTGCCCCAAATTGAGGGGGTTAAATATAAATTAGATAACTTTGTGGGTTTACTTTGATTAGAGAGAGGATTAATTAAGCCTAATTGGTTGATTAATTTAAGATTTGGGTTTACGAGGATTATTACCCAATTAGTACAACTTTGCATTTGGATTTTGGATAATTATTTTGATTTAATTTTCTGTTTGGTTGACAAAAAGGTCAACGGATTACATGAATATAATTAGCTTTTTTTTAAAAAAAAAATAAAAATAAAAATTAAGAAGTCAATGGTTTAGATTATGTACCGAAACACGTGACGTAATATTAATTGAAAATATTAGCATTTTAATTCTTAAAATATTAATATTTTAGTGTTTAATATTAATTTTATAATAGTTTTCTGAGTTTCGGCATATGTTCAAATTTTATAACACATATAATTAAATATACGTATTTTGATTTTAGTATGTATTTATACATCACATATGATTTATATTTTATATTCATATATTTGTTGTATGTATAATATATAATTTTTTTTTTATATAAACTAATTAAAATTCATTCAAAATAAATATAGAAAAAAAAAGTAGTAAACTTGTATAATTTTTGTCCAAATCATTTAAAATTATAAATTTATATATTGTCAAGTGATTATATATATATATATATATACAATGCACTGTTTGTTAGTCATATGCATAGCAGCTCCATCTGATAATATATATATATATATATATATATTAGCAGTTAAATAATATAATAAAGATATTCATGTTTGTTTATAGTAATGGAATAAGTATGTCCATACAACCAAACAAAACAACTTTTGATGTGCAAGACAAACTAAGGCATAGGGTTTCCAGGTTGGAGCCCATGGCTCAATAGATATATATATATATATATACATACATACATACATACATATATATACACGCATATAGATATATGTGTGCATAAGGACAACGAACCTTGTCTCATCCTAATCTAAATTAAAATGGTTTACCTACCCAACTAGGAGTAATATTCGAGTAATAATTAATTAATTAATATTTTTTAAAAAGGAGAAAAACCTACTTATGACATTTGATGTCAATCAAGAATGAGTCTTCTATACATACATATATATATATATATATGTATACAAAGTCAATTTTCCATACCTCCATAATCCATATATATGACAAGAAGACCACTGTGCTGTGGACCATTTAATTAAATATTGTTGATTTATAATATAATAATATATTTAAAATTTTAAAAATTATTTATTTAACTTATAAACTATTTATTATTTTTTAAAAAAATTATATTTAAAAATAAATTTAAAGTAAAATTACTTCATGAATTGTATTTAAATTTTATTTTTTTAAAAAAGCTTGGTTGATAATTGTTGACCATTTAAATTAAAATTCCTAGAATATTTTTTCTTAAATTAATTTGATATCCAACAGATGTTATAATACTTGCATTGACCAAATCTCTTATTGCACTATAATTTGCTGCTCGGGGATCTTATTATATAAAAATATATACATACATATATATGTAAATGTGGGAAATGACAGTGTCTCCCAATTTGATTTGTTTAGTGCAAATTTGCATAGATTTTGAAAGATCTCTCAGGCCAAACCCAAATTAGAACATGACATAATCATTCAATCAAATTACAAATTGTCACATTAATTATTAAGTTGTTCTTTTCATTTAGCCTCTTTTTTGGGTAATTAAACTAATTAATTAATTAACTAACTAATTAATCAATACCCACAATTGGATGTTGTGAAATTTAAATTGGATAAAAAAGATTCACCCCAAAACTCAGGCTTTCAAATATTTTGATCATTGGCAATTTCCCCACCATGGTCGTGTGACGTGGACTATATATTATATCATTTTTTTTATAATATAATGTATTGTGTTAGATATATACTATATGATACAGAACTTAAAACAAAAAACTATGAAATTAATTACTTGAGAAATCAAATAAAATTAAAAATTGCATCATTGTTAAAGAAAATATTTTTATAGTCTCCAAAGGTGGTTCCTTTTTAATTATTTTTCCCACTAGGAAAAAGTGACATAAATACACAAGGTTGAAAGAAAAGTTGACGGACCGGCCAACATACATATACATATATATACACGTATACACAGACATATATATATATATATACACGAACTACATTGTTTTTTTAACCATATATATAGATATAATATATAAACAATATGTAGGTTAAAAAAAGTATATATACCCAAGTACTTATATATTTACAATGACCATGTCATTTGTAAAACCAATATGGATTATGTAAGTAAAATAAGTTTTATAAATATCATAATTATTAATTAATAAACTAAAAAGTTAAATAATAAAAAATCAGGCTTAATTTTAATTTTGGAGTTGAAAGTGAAGTAATTAATTAAAAAAGAAAATTGAAAAAGGAAAAAGAAAAAAGAGAACCTTCACGGATTATTTAAAAGGAAAAACAAATAAAAAATAAAAAAATAATTTTTGCACGATACAAAAAGAGCTGCATGGAAGGTGAAGCTTATTGGCCAGTGAAGGGTTTAGCTCCATTACACTACACTTGTACGCATTTCTCGGTCGTATCAGCTCTTTCTCTCTCTCTCTCTCTCTCTTTCTCGTCTCTTCTTCCCCCTTTCTCTTTCATCTTATCTCTGATACTTTGCTTGAAATTTTACCAACATGGCTCCGAACAAATGGGGGTTTTCTGCTTCCGCGTAAGATTCAAAGCTGCTGCTTCTCTTCTATTACTATCTTCTGTGAGTCTTTCCCTTTCGAGTTCTTCACTTTCTTTTTTGTTCAGTACTGTTCATGGGTTATTTTTCATGGAACTTCTTCTCTTTTTCTCTGTTTTATGAAATCATCTTTGGTTTCTGCTGATATGATGCAGAAGGTTTTTTTTTTCTCTTGTTTCTTGCTACTGTTTTTTTTTTCGTTTTCATTTCTGTTTATCAGCATGGAGTTCTTTCTAAAGTTCATACTGAGATTTTGAACTGTGACAATGCTATTGTTATTTCTTTTGATTTTTTACTTGGGTAATTTTAGTTTGTATTTTCTGGTTGAAGCTCTTGATTTTTTTCTTTTTCCTTCTCAACTAATGTGGAATCCATGGAGATCAATGATACGAATCAGAATTTAATAAACTTATGCTAGGAACTTTTACTATAAACTCTTCATTGCAGGAACTAATCTAACAAATCGAAACACTGAAAATCGTTGCTGGAATCCGTTTTGAGAAGCTGAAATGGCCATGCAAACTGTGTATTTCAAAGAACATGAAGGAGTAGTCCATAATCCGACAGGGCAGTTTTCATCAGTACCGCAGGCTTCTCGTTGGGGTGCCTTCGGATCTCAGTCGGTTTACGTGGAGGCATGTGGGCAATTTAAGTCTTTATCCATGGAAAACACTGCCGGCGGTTTCCAGCTCGCTGCCGCTAAACAACGCGGGACATGTACGGACCAAGGGCCGGATAAAGGGACTGTAACTCCGTTCACTATCTTCCCAGGTAATCCCGACTCTGGGGCCTATGAATTTGTTTATCAGTTATATCTGTCTTTTTTCGAACATTCATGTTATTATATGCATACCTCTTGAAAATCAAATATTGGCGTATTGGGATAATCAACTTGAATGAATCTTGGTCATTTAAGAGAGTAAGGGTGGGAAGAAAATGAATTACTTTTCTAAGTTAGGAGATTGCATAAAAAGTAAAGAATAAAGGGATACCTTATTCTTCATTTTCATCCTAAGTTGATTAAAATTAGGATCAATATAGTGATTTGCGGCTATATATCTACTCGGGCTTCATTTTGAAGTTTTTCTTTTTTTTGGGTGATTGTCTGATTGTCAAGTTTGATAAACTAGGTGTTTGGCTTCTTTATTGAGTTGCATGTTCCTATATCAGATCCTGCTTTAAATTCAAAATAGTAGATACCAAAATTTTAGTTAAAATTTGAAGAATGGCTTGTTTTGTTCTACACATGAACAAGTTGTACGGGCAATTAACCATGCTATACATGAATTTGTCTAGGACTCGGTGTGAGAAAGTAGCAAGTAATTTGATTGAGAGAAGTTGATTTCATAAACATTTTCTTACTTGGAATTACAAGTGGCTGAAAAAAGAATAGAAGATTATGAATGAGATCAAGAAGTAGCCTTTTGGATTAATGACAAAGTCAAGATTGTTTAAGAGCATGCAACCAGAAGCACAATAGGGAGCTGGTAGTCAATAGTCGCCCATCAAAAGAAAGAAATCTAGAAAGTAGCAGTAGATGCTCTTGCTGGCACCTGGTTACAAGAACTAGAGTTTCCAAGAATAATTCAAACTTTCCTTTTTGACTTCGAAACTTCAACATATAAATATAGGCATAATTAGTATTTGTTTGTTGATCATAATTGAAATCTATCCACTAGAATTACATTGTTTGAACTATATATATTTTTGTTGAGCATTAGTATTACTAGGGTCTATTTCAGAAAAAAAAAAAGTATTACTAGGATCATTTCATTTGGTTATATATTCCGTCCTCCATGTCATTTGTCAAGCTATTACTTTTCAGTCGGGATATCTAGCAAAAGATGCCTATCAGGTCGATGAACCTTCTCTTAGGAGGAAGAAGTTTTTTTGTCTTGATCTGTGCCTTATTATTCCCTAGTAATAATTTTTTTTTGAGAAGAAAGTGTGACTTATTCTCTAGTAATATAAAAATATTATTTAGTGAGTCAACCACTAAGGACTAGAAGAATTTATCATGTTCATGAAAAATTGCCTAACTTTAGCTGTATAAATTTCATTTGATTTGATTTCCATCTCATAATGCTTCAATGGAAACTAATTGAGTAAGTCAATGAATATGAACTCCACTCAGTTCTTTTTTTTTTTTAAGAAAAATTTCACTCAGTTTTTCTATTCTCTTGTGATGCTGAGCAGCTACAATTTATAGCTTCATTTAAGGAAGTGGTCAGAAATTATATATGCAATCGAACGAGAAAACATTTACTGTTGCCGATGATAAGCCAGTTTCCATCTTGGTTTGAGGTAGTTTATTTGCCACATGTCATTCATCAGGCCTCCTTACATGCCAAAACAAACAACCAAATGAACTGTGTTTACTTCCAGGATCAGCCTACTGTTTTCTTGAATGATAAACCTTTGTCAACTAGGAAAAGTTGCTGATTGACATATAACTAAAAGGCTTTTATAATAGTCAAAATAACATTGGAAATAATTCTTGCTTCAATTAACAATATGTAGTGGATAAATCTGTGATCTATACGATTGGGAGAGAGCTTGGTGGAGCCCGAGTTAGATATTTTCCTATGGAGGTTTTAAAATGTAAAGGACTGTGTTGTTTGAGAAGAGGATGATCTTTTCTTAAAAGTAAAGAGATTTCCTCAACTTTAATTGACATGGGATTGAAGGATCTTTTGTACGCCATCGTATCCTATGTGATTAATATAGCTCTCAGTTTGCAGGTCTATGGGCCACGCATGAGTGACCCGGTTCTCATAGGTGTGTGAATTATATGGTTAGAGTTTAGCCAAGATTAAGTTATGTTAAGATGAACTAGTAAATGGCACCTTACCTAAAAGGGAGGGTAGTCTGTCCTTAAATAAAAAAGATTCCTTCAATTCTAGTTAAAATATGATGAATAATATTTGTATACTATCATTATGATTATAGTTTTTATTTCACAACTCAAGTGATGTCTGTTTCAAATGACACTATATTGTCCTTATTTTCGACTTTTCTATCTGATGGATAATTTCTAGTATTGTTATGCTAGTCAGATGCTTGGTAGAACTTAATGCTTATTAAGAGGGTGCCAAAATCAATTTTGAACCTTCTCAAGCTAACAGAATGAGGGTTTCTGAAGAAACAATTAGATCTTCCTTCAGTTGACTACCAATAACATGCATATTACTTTCTTATGTAGGTGATCGTAAAAATTCAGCTCATGGACATAAACCCCAAGGAACTACTGCTGTGCAATCAGCTCTATCAGACTATCATGCTGGATTTGAATTGGGTTTTGGTCAGCCTATGGTAAATCTTTTTTTTTTTTGAAATAAAAGCCAGCCTATGGTAAATCTTGTTTAGAAATTGTAGATTTTGTCATTTTTCATTCATTGTCCTCTGGTTTAGACGTAACTAATAATCTGTTTTTTTCTTGTTGATTGCAATTATAGATTTGTGCAAAGTATGCTTACATGGATCAGTGTTATGGACTGTTTTCAGCCTACGCACCTCAGATTTCGGTTTGTTTCTCATAAGTCCTTCTGCCTGGCAATTATTTGTTATTTATTAACTACTTGAAGCAATATGGGGTCTATGTGTGAAATAGGAAGTTAAATTGTTTAATCTAGTCTCTTTGCATAAGTTGCAGGTTATAGACATACGTAACCCCCTACAGTTCTTTTATTTCAAGCATACCAATGAAGCACTCGAGGGCATATAAATTCCAAATAAGTTCCACAGAGAGAGAGAGAGAGGTCAAAATAAAATAGAGCATAAAGCTTAGGCTAGCATTTTCATATGTAATTTTGCTCATTCCTATTGATGAGAAATGTCATTCAGGTGCTCTGCACTAATGTTAAATATCAATGGATATAAAGATGGATAACTACGACACTAAAATACTTCATTTGTCTTTTTACTTTCTTTCCTCTGTTTTATATTTTTCTGGGTATCTTACCTAAAACTTGATACCTTCAATGGTTCTAGTAACTTGTACCTTCGGTCAACCTGTTTTTTGCCAAATGTAATGAGGATCTTAATGTCATGGAATCTAATGGCATGCTAATTGAAATGTGAAATCTACCGAAGTATTGAGGAAGGATGAAGTAATAGCAACTTTTGCATAAAACAGTGTGATTGACTTGTAGTCTTCATTCATGTACATGAAGTGTTGTCATTTTTGGTTAACAATAGAAAACTTGGTTTAGATTAATATAAAAGTTGACTTGTGGAAAGAGAATTCCTAAATTTCTTATCTCTTTGTTCAATTGATGGGTGAAAAAATAGTGTAAAAAGCTCGAATTTACAATGAGATCTAATACTATTAGAAGGACAAAAAGGGAAGACAGGACAGTTTATTGCAGAAGGGGAAAGGTGAGAAAGAGTTAACCCTGTGCAAGTGAAGAAGGAAAAAAAAATCATGCATATGAAAATTTATTGTTTAGGATGGAATAGAAGTGGTTTAAATATTTTGTTTTTTCTTGTTTACTGCTCTCTCTGAAAGCCACAGATATCCTATTTTGTATGTGTTGCATTTGCTGTATATAACTGGTCACTTCCAATGCCTATTAATCTGGCAGTTAGTTAATTGACTTGTATACTGACTTATTCATTATATAAATAGGGTCGAATTATGCTGCCCCTTAATTTGACAACAGATGATGGACCGATATATGTAAATGCAAAGCAGTACCATGGAATCATCAGGCGCCGGCAGTCCCGTGCAAAGGCTGTATTGGAGAATAAGGCAACTAGAAGTCGAAAGGTATGATATCACGGTCCAGAGTATCATTCTCCTAATATTGATAGGAGGGATATTTTCACATGATTTGATTGTAGAGCTACTTTCAGAAAAGAATTTGATAGTAGAACTGTGGTAGGATAAATTTCATAGTTGTCAGGATGACACTAAAAAAATCCCAGACAAGTATTTAAAATGGAACTTAACTTTTCTGTGGGCTGACCTATAGATCTAATCCGGCCATTTATAATAATTTTGTAGCCAGCAACTATCTTTATGGACCGAGTATTCTTTTCTGAAAATCTAAAAATACATTCAATTCTATTTCTATTTCACAGCCATATATGCACTATTCGCGTCATCTCCATGCAATGCGGCGACCAAGAGGATGTGGTGGTCGTTTCTTGAACACAAAGAATTTGGATAGCATAAAGGGTGCAACTGAGGTTAAGAATGCCAGTGAAGGAAAGCTGTATCTGCTCACTGGTTCTCAGAATTCTGATTCTGAAGTCCTGCAGTCAGATAGCGGAACATTGAACTCATCTAAGGAAACAAACGGAATTGGGTCAAATCTTTCAGGATCAGAGGTGACAAGTCTGTATTCTAGGAGAGACATTGGCCACTTTTCAATCAATCACCTGGGTTCATCTGTCCGTTCTTTCTCTAGCATTTTGGATAGTGGGCACAGCATTGTTATGCCCACTAAGTGGGTTGCAGCAGCTGATA